CCTTGAATGGCGCGCTGTGCGTTGAGAGCATCCTCAGGGGTGCGGTACTTGACGAAGTGCACCTCGGGCTTGTTGTTGGTGTTGCTGCGGATGGCATTCAGTTTGTTGGCCAGATCTCCGATGTCGGCCTGCTTGTTCAGAACATAGATGGCGGTCTCCTGCTGGGCGGCCTGCTTAGCCAGAGCCAGAGCAGCGTTCTCCAGACCACGGTTCTCGGGTCCCTTGATGAAGACAACACGCAGAGCTTTATTCAGAGAGCTGGAGACCTTCTCCAATGCTTGTGGCTCATCGAAGTCCTGTTCGTTGGCGGTGTAGGTGAAGAACTCCTTCTGCAATTCAGGAGCTGGGGCAGGGGCGTTGTAATTGACTGGACCATCTGCTGGCACTTGTAGGCCGCCGAGGCCACCGAGGCCACCGAGGCCGCTTAGGCCGCCAAGGTTGGAGCCCAGACCAATGTTGTCACCGCCGAGACCAGAATCCAATCCGCCAAGTCCGGCCAGGCCGCTGCCCGACAAGCCACCGATTAAACCACCGCCGCGTCCTCCCTGGTTGCCGTCGATCAAGCCACTAAGTGAGCYACTGCCGCCGATGCTTCCAATATTTCCACTTCCGCTGCCAGGCCTGAACGAAAGTCCTGAKGRGGMGTGTCCTACCGGCTGGTAGTTGTAGCCAAGTTTATCGGCGCAGGCAACGGCCACAAGGCACAAGACGACAAAGACGCGCATTTTTGAGGTTCTAGTTCTACTCGGAGCACTGAGCACAGAATGATGTGGTCAAGAGGTGAGGTGCCATTTTTATACCAATATGTATGTCATTCTGAGAACAATCGTTGAGCAATCATGCATGATATCAAGATAAGGTTCATCATATGTCGCAACATGTCGCCCCAACATGTTGTCGAACATGTTTATTTAAGGTGGCTTTGATTATTAGCTGACGCCAACAACAACAACAACATCAACAACATCATCAACAACAACAATAGCAAAAGCAACAGCAACGGCAACAGCAGCCGCCTCGGCGTTGATTAAAATTTGATGAACTTCGGCTTACAAAGAAAATTTTTATGCAAATGGACAGCGCGTATTGACGCCGGCAGCGCAGTCGACACCGACAGAGGCTGAGTCCGCTGCGACAGAGGCAGCTCCAAATTGTTTGGCTGTGCGGTAGCCAAATTCTTTTGTTAGCGCATTTTGTTATGCAAATCGGGCCCGCCCCGATTGAAAGTGAAACTCTGGCTAATGGCCACAAATATTTGTATTTTTGGGGCAGTATGCGAGCTTAATAATATTAAATTGCTCGACGCTACGCTTTTGGGCATTGTTCGATGTAGCTAAATGCAATTTGTCAGACAATTCATACAAAATCAATTTACCAAAATCGTGGGCAGCTCACATGCATATTTTGATCCCCATAAGCAGCACGCAAACATTTCTCGATGTCGCTGGAGCTGTACAAAATCAACATCGAGAGCATAAAATTATGCTGTCATAGAACTTGTACTTCCCATTTGCCAATTTTCATGCAGAGCTCAGAGTTTGGCAGCCTATTTAACCTGTTGAACTCGTTTGTCTCACGAAAAAACCCAAATCCGTTTCTAAATTGAAATTCAAGATATTTTCATCGACTCAAATTCCTCAGCGAAAAAAAAAAAATTTACAATCTATAATAAGCTATTTCCAAATAGTTCCATTCCAAGTAACGGGCCAAAAGATACCCATTAAAGAAATTTATGCTGTGTTTTGATTTTATGACAGTCTGTTTTTAGATATTCAAATTTTACGATACCCCATCAATATGTGGGTTAAGTCAAAGCTAAGGAACAGCACGAAATGAAGAATGAAATGGAAAGGGGTCAAAAGAGATTCAATGAAATTAAAATGGGACCAAGTTTACATAATATTAATATATTTTAATTAAAACACATAACTCAGGCTTTTTTTAACTACATGCTAAAATTCTCATGAATTAATGGGAATCCCAGCATATTGAAAGGGCTTAAGCTTGATTTACAATACATTGGCTAGTAGCGGCGATTATAAATGATATACCCCACTTTAGCCAGCTCCGTTGCAGAGTACAAAAGCAAACATCCGCCACTTAAATCAGAATTTCAATAATTTTTATATCAACATTTTATTTTCAAAACAATAAGTCAACAATAACAAAGGTATTCAGTTACAACAACAGAAACACGCCAAAGGCTAAGAGTTAGACTCGCAAGCGGCGCAAAAGGTTTGTAGGCAAATACGTGCTGCCTGGAGTTACAGGTGGAATGTATGAGGAAATAGGCTCAGTGGCTGCCTCATCAGCTATTTGTGGTGCTGTTGCTGGTGCTGGTGCAGTAGCTGGACTTGGCGCACTAGAGGCGAAATTGAGTACGGGTGCAGCACCGCCGTCCTGATGGGAGGATGATCCACCTAGCTGATCGTATTGATCCCGAATGGCTTTTTGAGCATTTGAGGCATCCTCAGGAGTGCGGTACTTGACGAAGTGCACCTCGGGCTTGTTATTGGCATTACTGCGAATGGCATTGAGCTTGTTGGCCAAATCATTGATATCGGCCTGATTGCTCAGGACATATATGGCGGTCTCCTGCTGGGCGGCCTGCTTGGCCAGAGCCACAGCGGCTCTCTCCAGGCCATTATTTTCGGGCCCCTTGACAAAGACAATACGCAGAGCCTTGCTCAACGAGTTGGACACCTTTTCAGATGCAGCTGGCTCATCGAAGTCCTCCTCATTCACCGTATAGGTGATAAACTCTTTCTGCAGCTCAGGCTGCGCCGCAGAATAATCTAGAGCCTCTGCAGATGGCGCAGCAATGGGCCCGCTTGGCTCCACAAGTGACGGCTGGGCTGAGCCTGCGTCACCAGAATAAGCAGCTGGGCCAAGTCCTGCTGCATATGAGGGCGACACATTGCTGGCAGCGTCGTCAGGCGCAAATGACAGTCCAGAGCCGGAATGAGCGACGGGCTGGTAATTATAGCCAAGCTTGTCAGCTGCAGTCAAAGCCACGAAACAGCAACAGAGAATAACGGAAAGATGTTGCATGTTGAGTCTGTTTGAGTTGGCTATAGAATATGGAGTCTTAGTCAATAGCTTGGTGGCTTTTATGTTGGAGGCTATGTGGAGCATTTACCGTTATGCAAAACGATTGTATAAAATGGTAATATTATGCAAGAGTTCTTTTTGACTGCCGGGTACTAAATATGCAATGGAACGGCTTGATTGAGCAGTCTCTCTAAGAGCTTATGGTTTCTAACCGAATCGGAGTTGAATATCTTGATCAGCATGCCATCAGCGATACCAACACCGACACCGGCAGCAACACCGCCGGCGACACTGACTGCGACGCCATAGCATTTATATTAAATTGAATATTCTGCATTTAACTATAATTCCCATTATTCATCTTTGCCTTTTCAGCTTTTGAAAAAAACCTTCACGAAATATTTGAGTTTATCTTCGTAATCAGCATACATCTAGCTTTAATGAGCAGGTTGTTGACGGACTAGCTAATGGCTCGTAAACTAAAATTGGTGCAATACACTTGTCTATTCACTAACCTAGCTGCAATAAATACGGGACTTGAAGTGTTACCCAAAAGCGAACAAAATATGCAAATGAGGCGTGCCCAGTCGCGTTATTCAAAGACATTTTTAAACAATCTGCAAAATTATTATTGCCTTTTTTGTGAGGCTTCGCATCGACTTTGTGGCTTTATCTGTTGCTTTATGCTAATATTTGCGGGTGGAGGTGACCTTCTGAAGCCGGCAATAGACGTGGATATTGAATGGCGCCGGAAGTACCGACGACGTCACCGCTAAAAATAAAATCGCGTTTTTTCCTACCGATTGATTATCAAATTAGCTGATCGAACTGCAGCGCGGTGTCATCGGTATATAAGATAATTCGATAATTGGTTATTTAATAAATTACTTGGCGCCGCTCATTTCGCATTCGTGCCCAACACCTTGCTCCTCTTTCCTCATTTGCATACCGACTTTGACCAAGACCCTTCAATTTCAACCTGCTGGACTTGCAAAAACTCAAATACGATTTTGCACAATGATTCCATTTTAGCATAGGAAATACCAAATGTTTACTCTTCAAATGCATTCCAGCTCTAAATTTAGCTACCATATATGGAGCGCAAGGGATTACAATTTTTTTTTTTAACGATTTGCAGTGCTATTAAANATATATAATAAATATAATACAGTTGTTTTCAAAGAGACAAAACTTCGTGCGATCTGGCCAACAAAAAGCCATTCAAGCATCAGTTGGAAGCGTCATCATCATCATACCCCAACTGTCAACTTTGTCTCTCTAGCTCCAACCTCTATTCGTAAAACCGTCGGCGCAATTATCGGTCTCTGACCCACCTGACTGCCAGCAAACATTCTCCGTCGTCTTCGACTTTAACTAATACATACATGTTTTGGCTAAAGTTAAATATATTCAAAAATTTAATTACGAAGTTTTATATCTTTGCTATTTGTCAAACAATTTTCTAAATGTCAGGGTAAATTTAAATATATTATATTACTTTATTTATTCTTTTCATCTGACACTTTTTCGATTGTCGCAAATTTTTGTTCTGAATTATATCCTTAGCTTTTCTATTCTTGTTATTATTATTGTTTATAAAAGATTGTATAACTATTCGCTTCTAGACAAATCTAAGTACATCTAGCAGCCAGACATTCGATCCTGAAACTGGAAAAAAAATCTGAACTTACAAATTCATTGCGAATTTAACAGTTAGGCAAGTCTTCACATAAAATGAAAATATATTCTTTAAATAATATATGCGATACGTCTACAAGGAACACGGCCGATGAACATCGCGAAGAGCAACAAGTTTGAAGCTGACGTCGATACTTAAACAAGTATTGAGCTGGGGCAATAACCGATCCATTACCCAGCTAGCGGCTTTAGATCAACTCACAACTCAAATATTTCCTCCGGTAAAATGCTACAAAATAAATAGGTGTTTCGTCATGCATAACTTATCGTAAGCGGCTAAATCAAAAGCTGTTAGCAATGTTCTGCCATTCTGAAATGTATTAATTATTGCGCGTATTTTAGTGTGAATGCGGATACTAAATAGACAGACAAATATTTGCCCGTTACGATGGCTTTGAGCTAATTGGATTCGTTTATGTTGTCGAGAACGAGTTCGATAGTTCTTAAATAATTTCTCTGCTGAATCCAAATACCTATGTTGAGTGGCGAGAACGAACATCAATAACCGGTCCCACCTTCCCGAGTTCCCTAACTCGGAAAGTTGAAGAGCTTGTCGAGTTGGATAGTTTTGCATAATCACTTCATAAGCGCACTACTTTGCATACAAGACAACTTGAATTATGTGCCCGTAAAGAATCCATCCATTGTTCTAAGCATGATCCCACCTCGACGGCGGGGTATAAAAGGCCCGTCGCAAAGTATCAGGATTCAGTCTCAACCATTGGCTGTTCAACACACACATCTCTCCAACTCACAATGCGCTTCCTCATCGTGCTCTGCTTGTTCGGCGCCGCATGCGCCCAGTATAATTACGGACAGGGAATCGACACCGGCTCTGCCAGCAACATCAATCCGAATATTGCATATGATGATTACAGCACCGGCGCTGAGAGCAGACCCGGCGCATCCTATGCTTCTTCTGGTGGTGGTCTTAACAAGGAGTTCTACACATTCGAGGCCAATGAGGAGGATTTCAACGATCCTGCAGCCAGCGAGAGAGTCCTAAATAGTGCCAATAGAGGTCTGCGTGTGGTCTTCATCAAGGGACCCGAGAACCGTGGTCTGGAGAACGCTGCTCTGGCTCTGGCCAAACAGGCTGCCGAGCAACAGACTGCCATCTACGTTCTCAACAAGCAGACCGACATCGGAGATCTGGCCAACAAATTCAATGCCATCCGCCAGAACTCCAACGCCAGACCCGAGGTGCACTTCGTCAAGTACCGCACGCCTGAGGATGCCGCCAACGCGCAGCGCGCCATTCAATCACAGTACGATTCCCTGGGAGGAACTAGCCAGAACATAAACGGCGGCATCGCCCCAGCCATCAACTTTGCATCCCGTAGCCCTGTCTCACAATCTATCGGTAATTATGGCTCCCAAAGCGGGCCCTCCGCTTCCTACTTGCCAGCCAACATCCTACGCCGCCTCCGTCTGCGTTAGAAGTAAATAGTCGTATAAAATTGTTTCGCCGATGACGCTGGACTGGTTATTGTTTTTGTTTCCTGCTTTTTATAGACGAATACACAATAAAATCGAACCAAATGAATTAAACCTAAAATTACAATCATTTCGTTTTTGTCTTTTCTTCGCATACACATTTGCCCCTGTGTGCAAAAATATTGCATTTTTATGCTCACGATTTTGATTTTTATCACTTTCCTTATAATAACATTTATGCAAAACTGAATTATCGCAACAGGCGCCGAGACAAAAGACCAACGCAGCTTATTTTTATGCGGAAAAACATTTTGTGACATCGTCGCATTGTATTCAACGAGAAGCCACGCTAACAGCCTCGAAGATAAGCTTGTATAAATATTGGACGCTATCGCGGTATTAAACAGAAACCAAACAAGCCTCAAAGCAATAGAATCTAATCAGCAGAGTCCAGGATGCGTGCCCTCGTCGTAAGTTTTTGCGGTCTGTTCCCCAAGGCCAAGGATATATTAATGGACTAATTATCTCCATCATGACAAAAGGTTGTGTGCCTGATCGCAGTTGCCTGCGCCGATAAGCTCGGCTATAACTACCAGCCCGTGGGACACTCTGGCTCAGGATTATCTTTTAATCCTGGCAGCGGAAGTGGAACAGGACTCGGCGGTGACTCGCTTAGCGGCTACGAGAGTGGACCCATTGGACTTATAAGTGGAAGGCCAAGTGACTTGGACTCCAATTTGGGCGCAGGCAACAGTGGAAGCGGAAATATCGGTGATCTGTCCGACCTTGGTGGCCTCTCCAGCAATAACATCGGTAGTATCACTGGAGGCAACCTCGGTGGTATCTCCAGTGGTAACCTCGGTGGTATCTCCAGTGGTAACCTGGGCGGAGGAAACTTAGAGGCTCCAGTCTCGTACAATGCCCCTGCCCCAGCTGCTGAATTGCAGAAGGAGTTCTTCACCTACACCGCCAACGAACAAGATTTCGATGAGCCACAAGCWYTGGAGAAGGTYTCCAGCTCTCTGAACAAAGCTCTGCGTGTTGTCTTCATCAAGGGACCCGAGAACCGTGGTCTGGAGAACGCTGCTCTGGCTCTGGCCAAGCAGGCCGCCCAGCAGGAGACCGCCATCTATGTTCTGAACAAGCAAGCGGACATCGGAGATCTGGCCAGCAAACTGAATGCCATCCGCAGCAACAMCAACAACAAGCCCGAGGTGCACTTCGTCAAGTACCGCACCCCTGAGGATGCTCTCAACGCACAGCGCGCCATTCAAGGACAATACGATCAGCTGGGTGGTACTTCCAAGGCTCTTGATGGTGGTGTTGCCTCCTCGTTGAACTTCGCTTCTCAGGCACCAACTCGCAAAGTTACTGCTCAGACCCCCGATAACTCATACTTGCCCTCATCGGTCTTCCGTCGCCTGTAAATAGGTCGTATTGAGCCACGACAACTTTGTTAGCTCTATGGACTGTTTGTTAAATATTTCTGTTACTTGTTGATTACATATAAATGAATAAAAAAAATTTCAATTTTAAATGTTTTATACTGAACGCGTTCATCTTCCATTGAAGATCAATGGAAGCCTAGATATATAAATATGTTTCAATAGAAGAATTATTGACCTATACCCTATATATATGTACAATATTTATATGAAAATCTTACAATTCAAATCATCTCGTTTGAAATATAAAAATTTGCAACTTTCTGAGATTGTAAGTATTTAAATACTAACGATATATTTTTCAATATCAGACTGTATGCATTATATGTATTTACTGTGTAGAATTTTCATCTGTCCACTGGTTATACGTGGAGAATTTCATATGTCTTTGTATTTTTGTATGCTATGGCCAGCTAAAAAATATCATCATATCATAATTTTCAAACAATTCACAAACATAACATTCAATAGGATATATTTTTCTGATTAAAGTTATATACAAATATAAATTATATTGTTTCATGACTGTAGGAAATTTTAAATCGAATTTTACTTAGGAATAGTCAGCTGCTAATGATCTCTTAGTTCAGTTTTATTACATGAATTTTTAAAAATATATAAAAATATGTTTAAGAATATGTCGTGCAAAAATAATATTTAGGCGTGACGTTACGAAAATAACAAATGATTGGTATTTGGCATTACTCTTCGATTGTCTATGCTTACAGTTTCCTAGTTCTGATAATTTATCGTGGTGTCCTCCTGCTGCTCAAATAGTATTATAAAGGGAGTTAAAATAAAATTAAGTAATAATAATGGAAAACACGTTGACAGAATCAACAGTCCGAAAATTCTTTATCGGACACAGTTGTAAGGTTCTATGTTAGAATGAAAGACTATCATATATAATACAATAATATGTTTGATATTTATATGTATAAATATGTTTAAAATTACT